AATAAATAAATAACCAGAAAAGAAATGCAGACCATGGAATTTGTAGGGCTCCCTTACAATGGTGGCCTGTGTAGCTCGCCTTTACGTTGGTGGAAACTGTAGTGCTCCTTATGTTGGCAGTCAGTGTAGCACCCCTCACACTGGTGGTCAGTGAAGGGCACCTTTTCATCGTTGGTCAGTGTAGGACCCCCTTACACTGGTGGTTAGTGTAGTGCATTTTTACACTAGTGGTCAGTGAAGTGCCCCCTTTTATTGGTGGCCAGTGAAAAATGGCCCCTTAGTTTGGTAGTCTGCGGAGAAGGGCCCAATTCCACTGGTCAGTGGAAAGAATGCTCCTTACATGGGTAGTCATAGGGAAGTGGGAGCGCCTTCCTTACAGATAGCTGAAAAGATCAATAGTGTCAGAGATCACTTATCTGAGAGGTAGGAACCCCAAGCAACCTCTAGAGCAGGGGTAGCCAAACTGCGGCCCTCCAGCTGTGGGGAAACTATAAATACTATCATGCATCTGCCTCAGTAGGCCATGCCTGTGGCTGTCAGAGACTTGCAATGCCTAATGGAACTTGTAGTATCATCGCAGCTGGAGGGCCGCAGTTTGCCTACCCCTGCTCTAGAAGAGCCCTAGTGTTCCACGGAAGCCTGGATGAGAAAGGTTGGTCTAGAGGTAAATAAAAGGTTCTGTATGCTGTACATTGGGTGTGCGGACCTAGATTTTGACATTCAACTCACTTAAATGAAATCCATAATGGAACCCAATACTCAGATTTCTGGCGGGATCCCAGCCTGAGACAAAGGTCAGGATACCGACAGATACTCACGTTTCCATATCAAAGTAGATCCTCTGGTTGGTGGTAACGCTGCGCTTCAATGAACACAAAGTCCTTCCAAGATGGCGAACGTCCCAGCACAGAATCTCGGGGTCCTGCAGGAACAACACAGCCACTGAATTAAAGAGCCACTCCGGATGAAGAGTGAAAACGCATACAGGGGGGGTCACTGCTTTACTGCCTAACGCCTGGTAAAGTAACACCCATGCCATGACCTCTCTGCACTCCTACAGCGCTGCTCAGAATCCCCACTGCCCCATCCTCTGCCTCTTCACTGGAGCACTTCTGTATATCCTGACCACACTGAGCTCTGTCACTCCTCAAATGTACACACACCCCACACACACCCCACACACACCCCACACACACCCCACACACACCCCACACACACCCCACACACACCCCACACACACCCCACACACACCCACAACACACACACAACACACACACAA